TTCTATCTCCCATCTATTCCATATTTTCTTAAGTTATTCACTAGAACAATTAGGATCCGGAAGTGAATCCGGGGCAAGTGTTCGGATCCATTATGACATAGCAGTGAGGCGCTCAACGGACCCTTTTATTTGATTGATGGGGACAATAAACTATCAAAAATTCAATATATATAATGGATTTTCTATATATTTTATTCTCTATTAGAGAATAAAATATAGACAATAATATTTGAATTAGAATAAAAAAAAGAAAATAATAAAAAGACTGTTCTTATTCAAAACGCCCTGTGATCTTCAACCAATTCTGTGCCTCAATATAATTACCAGGGGTAAGGGCTATAGCTTGTTTCCAATATTCAGCAGCTTGATCAAACCAAGATTCTCCAATTTCAGAATCTCCCTGTCGAATGGCCTGTTCTCCGCGGTCGGAATAGGGGAGTAAAATCCTTCCCTTAGAACCGTACTTGAGAGTTTCCTGACTCATACGGCTCAACAGTCAATTCTTTTGATCTTCCATTTTTTCTGGAGTTAATAACAAGAAAAGAGGTTAATTACATGAGTTTAAAACTTGAATTTGGATTAATAATTCAATTGAATCCTTTGTTTTTAGTTTTATCTTTTCTCCTACCTTCTGAAGAAGAAGGCATCGACATTAATACTAACGCTCTTATTTGAATTTTCTCAAAGGTAACTATCTCGAGTTCATATATCATTTCATATATAATATATCTATTTCTATAGAATCTGTGAGAAAGACTTTTCTTCATAAGAAAAGACTTACTATCTTTGGGATCTGATACTACACCGCTGCTCAAAACCTTCGGGGATCAACTTTATTACATAAGTTGATTTCGAATCTATCATCATATAAGTAAGCAGTTCTGGTTGTATCGGCCAAAAACCTTGTTAATTGATCTTTACGGTGCTTCCTTTATCAATTAGATCTTTTATCCATAGAAAAAAGTATCTAGGCATATATATATATTCTATTTCTTCATATTTTTACTTCTATGAATATGAAGTTTCTTTCTTTGCTACAGCTCATAAAAATCGTTGTTTCGAACGATATATATGTAGAAAGCCTATTTTTTTTGTCTAGTATTTATGACTATTAGTGGAGGTTCTTTTCTTTTTTCTTTCTATAGTGGAGATAGTCGCACGTAATGACAGATCACGGCCATATTGTTAAAAGCTTGAGGTAAGAAAGGGTTTCGTTCGAGTGCCCGAAAATAGTATTCCAAAGCTTTTGTATGTTCTCCGTTACTTGTGTGGATAAGGCCGATGTTATAAAGTATATAACTTCGATCATAGGGATCAATTTCCAGTCGCATCGCCTCATAATAATTCTGTAAAGCTTCCGCATAATTTCCTTCAGATTGAGCCGACATCCGTTACGGTCGTCATTCGGTTCAAAGAATCTCCGTTCCAGAACCGTACGTGAGATTGTCATCTCATACGGCTCCTCCTTTATGTGGATAATGAGAAACATCCATGGAATCAAAAAAGATTGCAATATTCTCATTATCAACTGAGCGGGACTAGTGTTTTTACACGAAATCTCTAGCCAACCTTTCTGTAAAGGATCTTTTATTAACATTTAGTAAGTTATTACTGGATAAATCAATCGTAACTTCAACAATTTATTTGTCCTCAACGCCGCTTAATTTCCCGGAATTAGTCACTTCAACAGTCTTTGATGGTTATATGGGTATCCAAAATACGAACGAGATGGATGTTTGTTGTCCCAACCATTCTAGTTAGTCCCGATCCCGATAAGAAAGGAAGGATTTTTTTTACAAATTTTTCTCCTGTTGTTGATTCCCTAGCGTAGTGCTTCTTCCCCCATGCCGCCTATTTGTACTAGTGGAGTAGGATTCACCTAACCCCATAAATAGGTATATATAGGTATAACCTTTCGCTTAATACTATAAACCTAAAATTGAAGCATATTGAGGCTGCATTAATCGGGAATACACGACAGAAGGGATTAATCGTTTTATTTCCAAACTTCACCTTCAGCAAGCGTCGGTTTTTTTTGATTTGTCTCTGAAGAATGTATCTTTCTCCTAAGACTGAGATCGGTAAAAAAAAAAAATAATCAAATCGCACCATCTCTGTAATAAGTGAATGCCTCTTTTTCTCCAGAAGTTGTGGGAATTATTCGTAATAAGATATTGGCTACAATGGTAAAGGTCTTATCAATAAAATTTCCATTTATCCGAGATCTAGTCATAGGTAGCAATCCATTCTATAATTTCATTTTTTATCGCGTGATAAAATAATTCCCCAAACAAAGGAATTGTACAATACAGTACGAAATAACGTAAAAATGGACTTTTTAATCAAATTACTTTATTCTACGGTAGGCTTTGAAGTTGAAGTAGAATTTTTTTTTTTTAGTTTCAATTGATTGTATTGTGTGCGCTTACGCAAATGGGATATAAATGCCTCACTATTCACTCGGTTTAGGGACATAATCATTATGTAGGAGAGATGGCCGAGTGGTTCAAGGCGTAGCATTGAAACTGCTATGTAGGCTTTTTGTTTACCGAGGGTTCGAATCCCTCTCTTTCCGCACCCTTACCAAGTTCATCAATGTTACTGACGTCAATGTTTTAAATAATATATAGATAAAATTATTGCAACTTTTATATGCATTCTCTATTCCTAATTTGTTTCTGTAATATAGAAAATTGTGCATAAAGTGGGCAAGGAATAACAATTTTGCTACACCCACTTCTATACACGAATGGGGGGGGGGAAAATACTCGGATCAAAATTCTTGTTATTTTAACGAGGTTTAAGTCTGACGAGAATAATATTCTACAACCAGCAATTCATTAATTTTCAAACCAACCCATTTACTATCTATTATTTGATTGACTAATCCTTTATATTGGTCTGGATGAAGAGTCAAATGGGTTGGCACTCTTTTGCGGGGGGCTGATTTAAGAGAATTTTGAATTATAGTTCTCGATTTTTGTTCATCCTTGGCTGTAATAATATCTTTAGGTTTACAACGATAACTTGGTATATCTACTATACGACCATTAACTAAAACATGTCTGTGGTTAACTAATTGACGGGCTTCAGGAATAGTCGCAGCCATACCCAATCGAAAAAGTATGTTATCTAAGCGCATTTCTAGTAATTGGAGTAAAACCTGGCCGGTTGACCCTTTCACTTTTCCAGCGATACGAACGTATTTAAGCAATTGTCGTTCTGTAAGACCATAATGAAAACGCAATTTTTGTTTTTCTTCTAAACGAATACGATATTGAGATTTTTTACTGGAGAGCGATTCTTCGCTTCCAACTCTTCTAACTGGAAGCTCTTTTCTGGTTAGTCCTGGTAAAGCCCCCAGACGGCGTATTTTTTTGAAACGAGGCCCTCTGTAACGTGACATAAACACTCCTTTTTAAAATGGAAAATCTCATAAAGAAAAATCAAAACTAAACTAAATGACAAATATGATATTATAAATGAAGTGAAATCTACTTCAAGTATTGTACTATTAAAGTATTGTACTACTGTAGTACAAAGAAGAATTAGAAGGATTCTATCAGTATCCGAATGGAATTCTATTCTATCGATATAGAAATAAAAAAGAAATAAAAAAAGCCGGCTATCGGAATCGAACCGATGACCCTCGCATTACAAATGCGATGCTCTAACCTCTGAGCTAAGCGGGCTCTCAGAACACAAATTGTGCATTTATCAGAATTCTTTCCTAAACTACTGGGATCCTAGTTATTAACTATTTCATATTAGCTCTTCATAACACAATTACTATATCATAACATAATCAAATAAATACAAAAAAAGATAGAATATCCCATATTTATTTGATATTCTAGTATATAGAATATGATACAAATCGGAATCATTTAAAAATACGAATCCAAATTATTTTCATTACCAATTACCTAGAATACTCTTTTTATCCATTTATCTAATAATTAATAATTTATCCAATATTTTTGGATCCATAAAAAAAGAATTGGATAAAAAATAATTTTCATCCATATCATATAGTAAGATTCTCTTTTTTTTTTAGTTTTGAATTCCATTTTGGAATATTTGGATTCTTCCAATTTCTATTATTTATCTATTTCGATTATTAATAATTCATATTTATTATATGTATTTATCCCGATCCTTATTATTTTTATTTATATAATTTGAATTATGAAAAGTAGAATGGAATTTGATAGGAAGATTATTTCTATGTATATCTTCTTTATATATTCTTTAATATTCTAGAATACTTTCTATTTCATTCTATCTAGATTAATAGATAGAATATATCTATAGAAAATAGTAAAGAGTATATAGAATATTATCTTTAATATAAAAAAATATTACTATAAATAAATATTTTAAGATATATATAATATTCTTTCTTATTATTATTTTATTGAATTCAATAATGACTAATTAGATTACAGTTATTTATATTCAATAATGATTATGCATTAAGATGAAATATGTATAATGTATTTTATACATATAATATAAAAATATGGATTTATACATATCCATTTGAATTCTAAAAAATTGGATGGATTATCCAAAGAAAGTGGATTGGATAAGTAATGAAAAATTAGATCCTTCTATTGAATTTCTAACTGAATATCGAAATCTAAATTAATAAATAGATTTTTATTATTTTCGTTATAAGGTCTGTATCGGTCTGCTCGAAGGAAAAAAATAATCGAACGTTAGAGTATTCGAAATTCTATCAAAAAAGAATAGAAGGGGTACATCTAAAATAGAGATATATGTAGTATATATCTCTGTATATTGAATTGCGAATACAGAGATAATAGAATCATTTCTGATTCGAGTAAATACGGGTATCTGATATAGATGAAAGAAAATCTATCAACAAAAAACAAATAGAAGGAAATTTTAATTTTCCCAACCCAATATGGGAGTAGATTTCAACAAATAAATTCAACAGTTCCAGCATATAATTCTCAGAATACAAATGAAAAAACATCCTAATGCGATATGATATCAATCTCAAAGAAAAAACGGGGGATATGGCGAAATTGGTAGACGCTACGGACTTAATTGGATTGAGCCTTGGTATGGAAACTTACCAAGTGAAAACTTTCAAATTCAGCGAAACCCTGGAATTCAAAATGGGCAATCCTGAGCCAAATCCTTCTTTCTGAAAACAAATAAAAGTTCAGAAAGTGAAAATAAAAAAAGGATAGGTGCAGAGACTCAATGGAAGTTGTTCTAACAAATGGAGTTGACAACATTCAATTGATTAATGAAGATTTCTAACTTCTATTTGTAAATATTTGGATTCTATCACAATTGAAACATTAGAATCAAATCAATTACAACTGGAAGAAAAAATCAATGAATAGAATATTCATTGCTCAAATCAGTCACTCCAACATAATCTGATGGATCAGTTGAATAACTTATTAATCAGACGAGAATAAAGATAGAGTCCCATTCTACATGTCAATACCGACATCAATGAAATTTTGAGTAAGAGGAAAATCCGTCGACTTTATAAATCGTGAGGGTTCAAGTCCCTCTATCCCCAAAAAATTTCCCTCCTATATTCTGGCCCTTTTTGGATTTACTTGACATAGACTCAAGTAATTTCTTAGATTTCGGATGGTGCGTCAAGAATGGTCGGGATAGCTCAGACGGTAGAGCAGAGGACTGAAAATCCTCGTGTCACCAGTTCAAATCTGGTTCCCGGCAACTCATTATGTATGAGTATCTATTCCCATATTTCTTTTGAAAAAAGGGAATAGATACATATTTATTAGTGGTCTTAATCATCCTACATAATTTATGTAGGCGTACGGCGATATGCTCTTTCTAGATGAAGAATGAATGGATGTATATTCTAGGGATCAAAAGGAAGTATGAAAATGAATGATTCAAGTTTGTTTTGATTTTTTCTGCGCTGCAATAACAATTGTTAATATTTCAATTGAAACAATATTCAAATGCTTCAATTAGTTGCTTGAAACACCAAGCAGAACTTTTTCAGTTCATCCTATTGGCTCGTCCGAAATCAGTATTGCTCCATCCCATTTTTGAATCTCAATGAATCCCTCTTATAATAAGAGAGGAATGAAACCTCTATTATTCTGACTAATCGATAAGTCAATGGACATACAGATATTTCTTTCTTTAATATCTGGGGTTGTCGAAGTTAAGATTACTTTCTTATTTTTCGCATTTAGTGAGCATCTTGTATTTCATAAAAATTAGGGGCAATATAATCTTTACGCAAAGGCCATCCTATCCAACTTTCGGGCATTAAAATACGTTTCAGACGCGGATGATTATCATAATAGATTCCTAACATATCATAAGATTCCCTTTCTTGAAAATCTGCACTTTTCCAAACCCAGAAAATAGAAGGAATTCTCGGATTTTGCCTTGGGGTAAATACTTTTATGCATACCTCTTCGGGTTGATCTAGACTATACTCTATTCTCGTAAGATGATAGACACTCGCTAATAGTCCTCCTGGTGCTACATCATAGGCACATTGGGAACGTAGATAATTGTAACCATATACATATAAAATAACAGCAATCGAATGCCAATCCTCGGGCTTTATTTGTAAAGTCTCTATTCCTTGGTAATCAAAACCCAAAGATCTATGAACTATTCCGTGTTTGACTAGCCAAGCAGACAAATTACCTTGCATTTTTTGATTTCTCCCGAGTTTTTTATAAGATTGGTATAAGTATTTACCATTTATTTCCATTACAATGAAATTTTGTCAGATTGACTTGCTTGCTATTTCTTATTGTATTTTGTACAAAAGGATCCTGTTTAATTCACTTTTTCGTTCGTCGGAGGATACTTAATTTTTTTATATTTCCAAAATGTGTCCGAGGTTATCTCGGAAATAGATGATGGTTGATAGAATAATCCTTTATTAGAATTGCCGGTATGAGTACTGTGTCCAACATCAAATTTGTGGTTGGTAGTAAAACACCTACGTTGATAACTAATTGGATCTTCATAGATTTCTCGAGATATTTTCTTACGAAGTTTTGTTATAGCATCTATAACCGCTTCCGGTTTAGGTGGACAGCCCGGCAAATAGACATCCACAGGAATTAGCTTATCCACGCCCCGAACAGTACTATAAGAATCGGTACTGAACATACCTCCTGTAATTGTACAAGCTCCCATAGCAATAACATATTTTGGTTCGGGCATTTGCTCATATAATCGAACTAAAGAAGGAGCCATTTTCATAGTTACGGTGCCCGCTGTTAAAATGAGGTCTGCCTGCCTAGGACTAGAGCGTGGTACCAGTCCATAATGATCGAAGTCAAATCGCGATCCTATTAATGAAGCAAATTCAATGAAGCAACAACTAGTACCATAGAGAAACGGCCATAAACTGGATAGTCTTGACCAATTTGAAAGATCATTTAATGTAGTAGAAATAACTGAATTTTTGGTTTTTTGATCAAGTAAGGGAAACTCAATGGAATTCATAACTGTCTCAATGTTTTGTTTAATTGTCTAAATATTCAAGAATTAAGACCATTCTAATGCTCCCTTTCGCCATGCATAAACTAAACCAACAATTAGGATAAGCACGAAGATGAAAGCTTCTATAAATACGGATACCCCTAATACATCAAAACTCATTGCCCATGGGTAAAGAAAGACTGTTTCAACATCAAAAACAACAAAAACGAGAGCAAACATATAATAACGGATTTCAAATTGTAACCAAGCATCGCCCATCGGTTCTATTCCAGATTCATAACTAGAAAGTTTTTCTGGCCCTTTCCTAATTGGAGCTAAAATTCCAGAAATTAGAAATGCCAAAATAGGAATAAAGATCGATATTATTAGAAATGTCCAAAAAATATCATATTCATAAAGCAAAAACATAAATGTACTCCTATGAATGTGGAAAATATACTGGATTCATATTAATTCTTAGTCGATTTGAATTTAAATTTCAAAATTATTAGATTCATTAATCTAAATAGAAATGCTTTGTATTTTATTAAGTTTACATTTTAAAAGTTGACATTATTTCTAGATTAGTATCTGAGTATACTAATACTAATATTAGTATATCATTAATCTATTCAAATAGAAATGAATTGATTCATTCTTTCGATTACAAAAAGTATTTCAACTATATTTATACTACTAGTATTACTAGTATGGAGTATTTAGTATTCCATATACTACTACTATACTAAATATAGTAGTATCGGTAGTACTATTAGGGCTATACGGACTCGAACCGTAGACCTTCTCGGTAAAACGGATCAAACTATTATTATTATCAAAATGATTTGAATTGTTTTAAAGACCCAACGTGCATTTTTTTTTTTTTGCATTGGGCTTTTTCATTAACTGATAGAAATATCAATTAGTCTACCATCTTTTTTCTTTACACAAAGAAAAAGGAAATGACTCCCTGTGCTCTGATTTCTTATTTAGATCAAAATCTAAGAGCACTACCAAAGTTTTTCAAAGAAGAAGGTTATTCTGACGTAGGTCTGCTTCTGGCCTGGATCAACTTAAGTTAAATGGACTCTCTATCAACCTACTTCAATAAAAATATCAAATAGGAAATGAAACTTCATACACCTTAAAGTTCATAAGATAGGAAGAAAAGATATTTTTTTGGAGGTCCCTAGCCTCATTGCCTAGCATTGAATAGATTTTAGTATTCACCTTATCAATATCTCATTATGGATTCCATTTGACGTCTAAATCCTTTGTCAGGCTATTGTTCTCTTAATTTTCTTTCTGGAGTAAGACATTGATTTATCAATTAAGATCAACTCTTTTAATTACATGATGGACTCCTATGAAAAAACATTGGCGCATGTGTAAACGAGGTGCTCTACCTAACTGAGCTATAGCCCTTGTGCTTTTGATACAGATTTGATCATATTCGATAAATAAATTCTTGTCAAGATAAATATTAAATTACATGATCCAATCTCTTTGATTTATATTGCGTTTGTATTATTTATAAATAATATAACATTTATAATCCATTGATCTGATCGAGAGCTACTTTTTTTATTTAGGATGATAAATGACCTACTTAACTCAGTGGTTAGAGTATTGCTTTCATACGGCAGGAGTCATTGGTTCAAATCCAATAGTAGGTAAGGTATTGGTAGAACTTAGTAGATACCATTGATTCCGGTATCTAATAAGTTTTTCTACTCACCATTTTTTTTTATTGTAATTTTCTATCTTTTTTCTATTTTTTGGCTGCACCAACTTGTTACGAGATCCTCTTGATAGGCTCTACGATAGCCTCGACTCGTGTCTTAGCTCGCCGGAGAGCTAGATTTGCTTCAATTGTTTGTCTCTTGCCTTCAGCCTTATTTAAGTTAGCTTCTGCTATTTTAAGAGTTTGTTGTGCTTCTTGTGGATTAATGTCACTAGCCCTTTCTGCATCAGGTACTAAAATAGTGATCTCATTATTGCCGATTCTAGCAAAACCACCCATCAGAGCCATCGTTAACCATCGGTCCTTAAGGCGTATTCTCAAAATACCTATATCTAAAGCTGTGGCAATAGGCACATGATTTTTTAATACCCCAATTTGTCCACTATTAGTAGATAAAATAATTTCTTTCACTTCTGAATCCCAAACAATTCGATTGGGGGTCAGTACACAAAGATGGAAAGTCATTTCTTGAATTTGTTCTCCATTTCTAAGTTAAGTTCGTAGCCTTCGCAGTAGCTTCATCGATATTACCCACCAAATAAAAGGCTTGTTCAGGAAGACTATCTAATTCTCCAGAAAGAATCAATTGAAATCCTCTAATTGTTTCTGCGAGACCAACATATTTCCCTGGGGAACCAGTAAATACTTCTGCTACGAAAAAAGGTTGTGATAAGAAACGTTCCATTTTTCGTGCTCTTGCTACGGTTAAGCGATCCTCTTCGGATACTTCGTCCAACCCAAGAATAGATATCATGTCCTGAAGTTCTTTGTAACGCTGTAACGTTTGTTTAACTCTTTGCGCAGTTTCATAATGTTCTTCACCGACGATCCGAGGTTGGAGCATGGTGGACGTTGAATCTAAAGGATCTACTGCTGGATAGATACCTTTGGCAGCTAATCCTCTTGATAGTACAGTAGTTGCATCCAAATGTGCAAATGTCGTGGCAGGAGCAGGATCGGTCAAATCGTCTGCAGGTACATAAACTGCTTGAATAGAAGTTATTGACCCTTCTTTGGTAGAAGTAATTCTTTCTTGTAAAGTACCCATTTCAGTACCCAGGGTCGGTTGATAACCCACAGCGGAAGGCATTCGGCCCAATAAGGCCGATACTTCGGATCCGGCTTGGACAAAACGGAAGATATTGTCGATAAATAGAAGGACGTCCTGCTCATTGACATCTCGGAAATATTCTGCCATAGTTAGGGCAGTTAAACCAACTCTCATACGAGCTCCGGGGGGTTCATTCATTTGACCATAGACTAAAGCGACTTTTGATTCCGCAATATTTTTTTCATTAATTACTCCGGATTCTTTCATTTCCATATAAAGATCATTTCCCTCACGAGTACGCTCACCTACTCCGCCAAATACAGATACACCTCCATGAGCTTTGGCAATGTTATTGATCAATTCCATAATGAGTACTGTTTTACCTACCCCAGCTCCACCGAAAAGTCCTATTTTTCCGCCACGGCGATAAGGAGCTAAAAGATCGACTACTTTAATTCCTGTTTCAAAAATGGATAATTGTGTATCTAACTGTATAAAGGCAGGCGCAGATCTATGAATAGGAGATGTTGTGCGAGTATCTACAGGACCCAAATTATCTATGGGTTCTCCAAGCACGTTGAAAATTCGACCTAGGGTTGCTCCGCCGACTGGAACACTTAGAGCAGCTCCTGTGTCAATCACTTCCATTCCTCTCTTTAGACCATCTGTAGCACTCATAGCTACAGCTCTAGCTCGATTATTTCCTAATAATCGCTGTACTTCACAAGTTACGCGAATTTGTTGGCCAACCGTATCTCGACCTTGAACTATCAGAGCGTTGTAAATATAAGGCATCTTCCCTGGTGGAAAAACTATATCGAGTATCGGACCGATTATTTGCGTAATACGCCCCAGATTTTTGTTTTCAAGTGCAGAAACCTCAGTATCAGAAGGGGGAGGATTTATTGTCATATTGAAAAATATCCTCTTTTTTTTTTGGAAAAAAAAAATTCAAATTAAGAAAAAAATGTTCGAGAACAACGCAAGTGGATTGGTTCATTATTTGAATATTTAATAACAAATGAAATGTATTAATTCATATTTAATAAAATATTTAATAATAAAAAAATATGGAATAATAAATGTAATTTAATAATCGATTTTCATCATCCAATCAATTCAATTGTTTTCAAATTTCAATGATTTAATTTTTAAGGTCAACCCAGTCATCCAGATTGTAGACAATACTATCTATATTATCTATGGAATTCCAACCTGAACTTTGTTTATGATTCTGTTTTTATATCTCATTGGTCCTTATTTTTTATTTCCTCAGCATAGGATTTATACTGAGCATATTATTTCTTTTTACCGATTTTTCTTTTTATTGGGCAAATTCTGCCGATTTTGACATCTAGGATTTACATATACAACATATATCACTGTCAAGGTCAAGAGTATACTTTTTATTTATTATTTAGATTCGAAAATTATATTCCAAAATTCAAAAAAAAAATAAGAGATTCGAAAAAAAACGGTTGGGTTGCGCCATACATATGAAAGAGTATAGAATAATGATGTATTTGCCAAATCAAATATCATGGTCAAATTTAACAATGACCCATTCGGATTAATTGATAATATTAGTTGATGGATCATTTGTAAAAAGGTTTGATTAACTCTTAAGTTATGTCGAGTAGACCTTGTTGTTGCTATAATTCAATTCTTAATTCATGCGTTGTAGGGGGGGGATTTATGTCACCACAAACAGAAACTAAAGCAAAGGTTGGGTTCAAAGCTGGTGTTAAAGATTATAAATTGACTTATTATACTCCTGACTATCAAACCAAAGATACTGATATCTTGGCAGCATTCCGAGTAACTCCTCAACCTGGAGTTCCGCCTGAAGAAGCAGGTGCAGCGGTAGCTGCAGAATCTTCCACTAGTACATGGACAACTGTGTGGACCGATGGACTTACCAGCCTTGATCGTTATAAAGGACGCTGCTACGAGATCGAGCCTGTTCCTGGAGAAGATAATCAATTTATTGCTTATGTAGCTTATCCCTTAGACCTTTTTGAAGAAGGTTCTGTTACTAACATGTTTACCTCCATTGTAGGTAATGTATTTGGGTTCAAGGCCTTGCGCGCTCTACGTCTGGAAGATTTGCGAATCCCTAATGCTTATGTTAAAACTTTCCAAGGTCCTCCTCACGGAATCCAAGTTGAGAGAGATAAATTGAACAAGTATGGACGTCCCCTATTGGGATGTACTATAAAACCCAAATTG